TAAATGCAAATTTTGTCACTGTTTTGGAGCACACTGCCTTATAGATAACCTTAAGACTAACATATTGATACTAACCCTAAAAACTTTAATTTTGATTTCATGGGGACTTTAACATATGGAGGTCGGCTTTGCGCATGCGCCGCTCAGAAGTGACGCACGCGGAAGCGCAGGGGAGAAATCAAAAAAGACTCACTGGCGCATGTGCAGCACTGACCTAATACGTCATGCTCCCGGAACTGCTTCCATGTACAACAGTGAGCGCAAGCTAGATTAAAGTGATTATTACGTTTTGAATATGGATATTTTTCTTACAAAAACGCATCGATTCGCTACAGGAGGCCTTTGTTCAGCTCTTTTTTTTAATGGATGGGCGCATTTTATTTAACTGCTTTTGGACTGATGCATGCAACACCTGCTGAGTGCCATGAAACAGCTTGAAAGATCAAAGACAATTTTTAATATAACTCCGACTGGATTCGTCTGAAAGAAGAAAGTCATATACACCTAGGATGACTTGAGGATGAGTAATTTATTGGCTAATTTTCATTTTTGGGTGAACTAACCCTTTAAAGTTTGTCTAACTTTTTTATCTAGTTATACTCTGGCATTTATGGCATAATGATTTTATGTCTATTTGCTTAAATTATTTAACTAGTTATAAAATGTTACGTCGCCTTTTCCCTTTTTTAATTTTAATTTATCTTATATGCATTGTATTACATTAAATCACACGAGGCATCTGAATTTGTCTGATATTTAACTCTCTTAAGGGTATTATAATGTGTAAAAACGCCCTCTCGCGGTAAGCAAACCTGTCTAGAACAGAATTACAGGAATGTGACACTAAAAAACTGCCCAAGTAAATCGCTAAAAAACAAAACAAAACAACGAATAAATAAATACATTAAAAATTTATGTAATTCAGTCTTTACTGTATATCGCCGGGCGTATAATTCAAATCTCATTGCCACACTCCACAGTCAACTGTTATATGAGGCAAGGCACAGTTTTGTTAGTGGGATGAGGCAGACTGTAAGGGCAAGGCTGCACTCTGAACCACTTGATCTCGTTACTTCGTTAGGGTTTCGGTTGAAGTTAGTTAACTTACCGTTGGCATAGACTCTCAGGCACACCTTCTCCTTCTCTTATCTAAGAGGGCGTGTCCCAAACGAGTCTAGTAAGCGAGGAATCACCTGAGCTCATTACACCAGCAGCGCACAGGTGTAAAAATGGGCAAAGCAGTTGGACGCTGGGACTTTGAATGGGTCTATAATGAGCAACCGCACACATGGAGAAGAAAGGAAATATTAGGTAAGTTTACATTAAGTGACAGAAAAACACATACGTCAGCAGAATTTGCTAAAACATAGCCTACTGTAGACGTGATATGATTTCGGTTAGCCGACTGACTTGAATTTAATTTAAATATCAATTTAACCATTTGGTAGCGTGTTAGATGTTGTTATCTGGTTGTTTATCTTGTGTTGGTAAAGATATATAAGCTCAACTGTGTGCTTATGCACAGTGCCTGTCACGGCATAACTCTGATCACTGATTATACAGGAACTCGGACAATTAACATGACATTTTAATCCTAGTGGATATCTTCCCGAACTAATTTCAACTGAAAAAAGTGAATTCAGTATAAATTCTTAATACTAATTCTCCGGAAGAGTGTGCGTGTGCCGGTGAGCGTGGGTGCGTACGCAAGGGCGTGTGAAGAGGGCGCGTAAGGAATGTTTTTTTTTTTTTTAATGTTTTTCTTTTACAAACTCTGTCGTCGTGTGTTTCATATGCATACACTACATACTAACTACCCTCATTTTTACGTGTAATTGAGGTCAAGCGTACTTTGCCATATGTTCAGTCTAATAATAGTTAGACTAAAGACAGGTGTAGTAGACAGGTGAAACATAGATGTGTTTTACCTGCCTCACATCTATCAGACAATAGCTTCAGGGGATGATAATTTGTGTAAACTGATTCCATGTATTATTGGCACGATAGCAGTGGGTCTTGCATGCTAACAACATTCTAGTCTTATGACCATAGGCTAACTGTAAAGATATCATGTCACAAGCTCAGTTCACCATAAAACACATTTATGAGCAACTTGGAGATCTCACCACAAATATCACAATATAGAAGGCCAGAGTGTTTTTTTTTCTTTTGTGTGCAGAAGTAAGGAATTAAAAAGCTGACGTTCTTTTGACATCACATTGAACCGTAAGAACTGCCCCTTTAGAGTAATTCTCCATTAATAGACCCCGAAAAAACACCTTTTGGTACTGATATGATATTGTGAAGTTGCATGGGTAGTTTTACACCTCAAGCTCTTTAAATATTAATAATGTATTCTATAGTCTTCTGACTATTCCAGAAAGGATTTGTAAAAAGCATTTACAAATTCTGGTATATATAAAGTTGATAATAGATTATGTAAAATAATATATTTTAAGCAACAAAACTGATATGAAATATAAAATTATAATATTATATACAAAACATAATAAATATATTGCATACAATTTTATAATAATGCAGAAAACCTGGTGTAAAAGTGTTTTTTTTCCCAATTATCTTTTTCATAATAGACCATTATAGGATTTTTATTTTATTTTTTAAACAAAGCATCACCCTGGGTTTTACTAGTGTCTGACTGGAGTTTGTGGCTATTTTATTTACATACTTTATAGCACTTGGTTACTCATTACACAGGTGAACTTGGCCAATGTTCAGAAACATTGCATGCATGTTGTGTTATTTTAGGCTTAAATATGACTTATAGAATCTGAAACACAACCACCTTGTTCAGAATAAACCTGTTTGTGTGTTTCTGTGACATTAAGCCATGACAGGTGTGATCTTGTTCAGAGTAGAAGAGACTCAAGGGGCAGAAAAAGGCGCATCCAAGAATCTCCACCTACATGTGTACAAGAACATCACTGCTCGTGAAGCCCTATAGTGTTGCCGGCAGCCGCAGCTGTGCTTGTTTTGTGAGGGCTATTTGTTTGACCGATATGTAAAATGTAAAGGCCAAACAAATACACAGATGATCTGACATATGGAACTGAACCAGAAACGTTTCCTTGTTCAATGATGACTGAGGTGCCCAATTCACCTGCCTTACTGTGAATAGCCCTTGACGAAAAACAAAATATGATGCACGTTACCATACACTTGAGCATAAACCACTAGAAAACCTTGCAATATGAACAGTTTGCATACAGACATTATGCAAACTGCATGAAAAAGTGTTATGGCAGATTTGCGTGCAGGTCGCCTGTAATTGTACAGGTGAAAGTGAGCACTGCGAAAAAGAGCCAAATGATGCGTCAACAGAACATTAGCAGGGCAAACAAATCTGCTAATTAAAAGGGCACACCGCCAGGGGAGTGTCTCTCCCTTGTGGAGGAGAATTAGTGATTGGTTGACTACCTATGCAACATAGTGCCTTAACATGTTTAATAGGTTACCACTAGCAACTGCAATAAAGTGATAATCTTTATTAGTTTAAGGCTAAGTGTAAATAACAATCTTAATTGAGTACAATCTTAATAAAAAAAAAAAAAGCTTTAAAAGTGATACAGGCATAACTATTGTGAGTGCTACTTAAGTGGGATGTGAAGGCTTCATTTCAAGTACAGTCTGTCTTCAACATGAACAAGACTTTAATAAAGATATATGATAACCTCTATTACAAGAAACTAATTTCAAGAGCTCAAGCAGCAGTTTTAGTGTAATGGTTTGAAGGATTATTGCACTAATGCAGAATGCACTATACTGTAGTGTAGACACCGTATATATTGTTTTTTTGTGTGCAGATTTTTAATATGTAATGAGAAACTTTTTGTTTCTCACATCACCCCGCAGTCTTTTCTGCTCATCGCATAATAAACATATTTCATTCAAAGCTGTATTTTATAGCCATTTGGTCATCTCAAATCTCTTTAAAATGATAAAATTCTGATTTTTAAAAAATGTTATTTATGTGCAGTATCTGCAGATAAATATTTATATGTATATACATATGCGTACATGTATGCATATGAATATGTGTGTGTGTGTGTACTGGTCGCCAAAAGTTTTCGAGAAGTTTCACAAAGGCTTCATTTATTTGATCAAATACAGTAAAAACAGTTATTGTGAAATTGTTACAATTTAAAGTGACTTTTCCGTTGTCATATACTTTTTTTTTTCAACACTGATAATAATAATCATTATTAATAATTTAGCAGCAAATCAGCATTTTATAATGATTTCTGAAGGATCACATGATACTGAAGACTGGAGTAATGGCTGCTGACAATTCAGCTTTACATCACAGGAATAAATGTATTCAAATAAAAAAGTTATTTTAAATTGTAATAATATTTCACAATAGTGTTGTATTTTTTTAATCACTTTTGATGTTTTGGCAAGTCTAAGAGATTTAAAAAAACTCAAAATCTTAAAGCCTGTATGTGTATGTACATATATTTTAAATGTAATTATTATTCAAACTATATCATCTCATGTTCTTAACATTGTTCTCTCTCTTCAGCAAAGTATCCTGAAATCAAGTCTTTGATGGGTCATGACCCCCAGCTGAAGTGGGTCGTGTCAGGGATGGTACTCACCCAGCTCCTGGCGTGTTACATGGTCCACGAGCTCTCCTGGAAGTGGGTGTTGTTTTGGGCGTATGCCTTCGGTGGCTGCATCAATCACTCTTTGACCCTAGCCATCCATGACATTTCACACAATGTGGCCTTTGGCACCAAAAGGGCACGCTGGAATCGCTGGTTCGCCATGTTCGCCAATCTCCCGATTGGCTTGCCTTATTCAGCATCCTTCAAGAAGTACCACATCGACCACCATCGTTATCTCGGAGGAGATGGATTGGACGTGGATATTCCTACCGACCTTGAGGGCTGGTTCTTCTGCACCCCAGCCAGAAAGGTGCTCTGGCTCTTTCTCCAGCCTTTGTTCTATGCGCTCCGTCCGTTGGTGGTGAACCCCAAGCCCGTGACCAGGTTGGAAATGCTCAATGCAGTCGTACAGTTTGTGGTAGACATTATCATCTACTATTTTTGGGGTCTCAAGCCCATAGTCTACCTCATCGCTGGCTCTATACTGTGTATGGGCCTGCATCCCATCTCTGGACACTTCATCGCTGAGCACTACATGTTTATGAAAGGTCATGAAACCTACTCTTATTACGGCCCTCTCAACTTAATAACCTTCAATGTGGGATACCATATGGAGCACCATGACTTCCCCAGCATTCCAGGCAGCAAATTACCTGAGGTACGAGATTGGCTGTCTTCCTTTGTTTTTAGAAATACATGGTATTAAAATTGTAGCTGAGGCGATAAGATGATAATTATGGCAGATGTTAAAATTACACTCTCTTTGTTGAAAAAAAATAAATAAATCAGTCACTTTTACACACTATAAGAAAATTTAGGCATCACAAAGTAATGTACAGTATGAAAATGAATATTTAAGCATTCATTAATATTAATTCAATGTTTTAAAGATGAAGGTTAGATGACAGCAATGGTAATCTAAATGTAAAATTAGAGGAAATGAGCATGTAAAATGAGTCTGACCAATACAATAAAATAATGCATTGGGACTAACGGCTAATAACAGATTTATTGTAAATCCCTATTGGAGTTTCTTTTCTTCTAATAAAAAGTAGTTTAAAGTTGGCAAACTATCAGATATCACTGACGCCTGTCATTTTGTTCTTAAGATGAATTCCAAGACGTTCATAAGAAAAATTCTGAAGTCGTTTTTTTTTTTTTCTCATAAGAAACTTCTTGACTTCGTTCTTAAGATTTTAGTGAATCCGGTCCCAGATTTTTAATACTTCTCAGGAAGTTTACTTTTCAGGCTAGAGCTCAAGTGGAAATGTCACGGTAATGTAATGCTCTCTATTGATTTTGACACTGTTACCGTTTAAGAGGAAGTATGTGACATTTAGTGCCGTGGAACTAACTAGAAAGACTAATATTTGCTAAACTCTTTTTCATACTTCATCAGTGTTCATAAGACAATTTAACTGGAGTTATAGTTTATAGATGTCACACCATCAGTGTGAAAGAACCCCATGGCATGTCTGTAAGCTGATTACTCATGCAGTGCATTGTATCTGTTAATATTTAAACCAAAGTATAGCTACTGACAGTAAACTGACCATCGCCCCACCCATGCTTTACACTTTAGCTGCATTGTACTTTGTTCTTATTCTTTGGTACGCATACTGTATTTCAAAGTGTATATAAACAGAAATCTCATTATTAACATTTGATTATTGACGGACCTTTCCCATATTGCAGGTCAAGAGGATTGCAGCAGAGTACTATGACTCACTCCCTCAACACACTTCCTGGATGCGAGTGCTCTGGGACTTCGTATTTGATGACACCATCGGCCCCTACGCCAGAATCAAGAGACAATACAAACTTGGCAAAAAGGAATGAATTGGGTGTTAGACTACTGATCTAATCAAACGTACTACAAGGTATTTACACAAATCTGTGAGGCACTTGAAGGCTGTTAGTTAAAAGGGAGCAAACCCTTTCACACGTGAACCTGCATACCCTTTTCATTCCGTCACAGCATTTCATCATATAGATCCATCTGTACAATGTATGAACAATAACTGTACATTCCCTGCGCCTGGGACCGTGTTACAGGATTTGTGATTTATTGTTTGGGTGTATCAAAGCCCAGCGAATTGTCTCAAAATCGTTCCATACACTCATTCCAAACTAAAACATCTGATGTTGTTTTTATGGTATCCATGTTCATTATCAATGCAGTTATTTGTGATTATTATTGCAATCGCCACTTTCTCAACTAAATCCAACTACTGAGATGCCAGTTAAGATGTACCTGAGGAAAGAAGTGCTGAGATGGAACGTTTAAGTGGACTTAATGCCTTTTCATCAGTGAGGCCTTTTAGAAAACTGAATATTTAATTGTTTCGTGCGCTATTGTGTAACTTGAAGTCTTTCGATATTTTGACATGTTCTGTCGTTTGCACTGTGATAGTTTAACTCAGAACTCCATTGTGATAAAGCTGTTGTGGAATATATTTGTTCAGCACAATGTATTTCAATAAACTTCCTAATCTTACACGATGAACCTGAATAATGGCAGAGAGGTTTTGTAAGGGGTCGTTTGTAATGTTCAATGAAAATGAGTCATTTTTTTTTTTAAGGAAGCATGAGACAAGCTTTTCCCCCTTTTAAACAGTCTTTTAAAGTTCTTTTAATTCCATCAATCTCACACTCTCAACAGGTTTAATTTAATTGTAATTTCTGTGAAATATCAACATCAACTTTTAAAATCAGGATCAACCTAATTAAACCAGAATACATTGTATGTTCAAACAATTCACCCAATACTTTAAGCCACTTTCAATAATTCATCTCACGTTGTGTGAGTGTGTATATATACACGTATATATTTCCATGTCCATCTCTTGAGCTCATTAAAAGAGCGTCTATATTTAACCTCATACCTCCAAATCAATTTAAAACAGTTCTACTGAACTTCTGCAGTGGCCAAAAAAAACAAAAGAAAAAGTCTCAAACTGTTTCAACTATAGTAGTTTGCTGACAGTTTAGCACAAATGTGTGCAGTTTGTACTTATTAAAACCAAAGAATAAGAGCAGTAATATAAAATATAAAAGGCTGACAATAACTGTCGTGCAGCTTTGTATCTCTCTCATTTAATATAATACAATTCTTAACAATAATAATAACAATGACCAATGAAACCATATCAACTTGGAAAACAAAAATATCTTCATTAATTTCCAACTTGTCGACTTGAAAGAGCGAGAGCAGCAAGCTGCACAGTGGACTGTCTCAACGTTCATACTGGAGGAAATAGAAAATTCAGTGTGAAGGTCTATATTTCCATCTGCTCGTTCATTCACTCGTCCATACACACAATCATTCATTCACTCCAATTCCTTCCGTTCCTCAGCTTTCTCTTGTCCTCAATAATGCCTTGTATCTGCACAACATTTCTGCAACTGAATTATCCATACTGTTGCAGACATGCTGCGAGAACGTTTTCACGTGCGCTTTCATGTACTTTCCCGAACCTTCAGTCGTTATCAGTCGTCGTCGTTGACCTTTCTTAAGACTATGTGGAGCCAATTCTCAGCAGTTCCCTTCTAATGGCTAAACAAAAAAGAGAAAAATGTAAATATCCTCAAGAACTGAAAAGATACATCTCTTTTCTGTTATCTCCTAAAACTTACCATCAATGATTTCTTCTTTAACTTTATGCAATTCCCGCACAACCTCCTCCAAGATCTCCTTTTGATAGCAACAGATTTTATCGTCGTTAGCAGGCCAGTCTATCCTCATTTTTTGCACAATACACAGCACAGTAATATGCCATTTTGAAAGAGATTCTGAACTAACCTGTTTCATTCTGTCAAAGTCAAATGACTCGGCATCACTGGTGCTTCCAATTGGTTTTGCCCTGTACAATGTTCATCATAAATATTTAAACGCAATTTGAATGATCAAAAATGTACCTGCAAGTCATGTTTGCTGTTAAAACAACGTGTAGATATATTAAATATTAATATTGCTTTCTGATGCAATCTCAGTTTTTATAACCGGTTCATTTTCAGAGTTCAAAGAGGCCATTTCTGTGAGTTTACACAAACATTCAATGAAAGCTTACACAAAACATAAAAACTACATTTTCTAGTTTGTCAGAAAGCGAGCAGAACCGGCTTTGTTTGCATTTAAGTCATTGCAGGCTCATGTTGCCCAGGGCTTTACTTCCTTAACATGACCATTTGTATTGGCAACCGAGCAACAGGCATTTACTCACATATGCAAACTCTAAGCTTAAATGGATTGCAATCCATCAAGGAACACCTCAACAAATGTAAATTTTAAAGGAACCAAATGTTTTAAAGTGCCCCTATTATGGATTTTTGAAAATTACCTTTCATGCAGTGTAACACAGTACTAAGTGAATGAAAACATCCTGCAAAGTTTTAAATCTGAAAGTGCACCGTGTATAAAGTTATTGTCTCTCAAAAGAAAGAGTCGACTCTGAATCATTTAAACGAGTCGTTTTTAAAAGAATCCCAAGCCGTTTCATGTTGACGTCATGGGGAGTTTACATAGACTGGACCGAAAGGGCACTTTAGCGTCGGCGATTAAAGGAACACGCCACTATTTTTGAAAATAGGCTCATTTTCCAACTCCCCTAGAGTTAAACAGTTGAGTTTTACCGTTTTTGAATCCAACTCTAGGGGAGTTGGAAAATGAGCCTATTTTAAAAAATAGTCTAAACGGATAGGAATGAAATGTTCACTGCTCATGAAACCTGTTAAAACATACCTTGACACAGCCAAAGACTTATCTGCAGAGTTGGCTCGTTCCCATGGCTTCTGCACAGGATCTGAGAAGAATATTTAAATACTGTTTTTTTTTTTTTTTTTTTTACAAAATTACATTTATATGAATTTCTTGCCAAGAGTGACTCCAGCGTCAAACCACAGCATCCTACTTTTTCCCCTTGGTTTTCTCGGGTTTATCTCCTCTAGACACCCCAGGAGATGTTACAGGCAGGTGAGGTTTTATTAGGGTTGGTGCTGAACTCTGCAGGGCTGCGGCTCTCCAGGATCGGAGTTTGCCACCCCTGTACTATACAATAAAATTAATATATTTTTACTAAAAGGTTTTTAGTTTTCTGAATATCCTGAAAAAAATTTATCATGGTTTCCACAAAAATATTAAGCCAAAAGTATATCAAAAGTAATAATACGAAATGATTCTTGAGCATCAAATCAGCATATTAGAATGATTTCTAAAGGATCATATGACACTGAATACAATTATTATATAATATTATTTCTAGTGCTGTCAAAAGATTAATCGCATCCAAAATAAGTTTTTGTTTACATAATATATGTGTGTAGTGTATATATATTATGTATATATAAATTCACACACATGCATGTATATATTTAAGAAAAATTTTAAGTTTATATATATAAGTATATTTATATATAATATAAATGATATGAATATAAACATATACATGTAAATATTTTCAAAATATATACCGTATGTGTGTGTATTATATATACATCATAAATATACACAGTACACACACACACACACATATTAGGTAAACAAAAATTTTTATTTTGGATGCGATTAATCTTTTGACAGCCCTAATTTTAAAATTTTTCACAATATTAGTTTTTTCTGTATATTTGTTCAAAAAAATGTATCATCGGTAAGCAATCGACTTTTTAGAAATATTAAAAACTTACCAACCTTAGATTTTTTTATTGTAGTGTATATACAGAATACATTGCTAAATTAGCAAAAATAAAGGAAAAAAAAACACCTGAACTTTGTCCACGAGAAGATGATGAAGGGGATCCATTAGACTCCTCCTGCAAGAAAGAGATATCAGACTGATATGATATACAATGAATAGAACTGAAGAGAAGTACACAATCTCTGTGTGTTTTGACAAATAGTGTACAAAAGTCATACATTTTGACTGTCTTCTGGTTTCTCTGAGGCCTTCCTCCTGCAGAATGATCATATTTAACAATCAAAGTTTGTATAACCACCAGTCATGAATCATTAGTTATGGAAAAAAAAGACAGGAAATGGATGCATTCTGACCTCCGTGCTAAAAGGGCATTCATCTCCTGCATGAGACCCTCTCCACCTCCTCCACTGCCTCCACTGCTTCCACTGGAGCGATTGGCATCGTTCTTGCTACTGCTTTCCTCTGGCTAGAAAAGTTAAAACATGGAATAATCAGGCAGCAAGATACTATTATTGAACTTATTGCATAAAAAAAAAGAAATATGTGAAACATGTTGAGGTTTGAGAAAGATAAATGCCACTCACCCGCTGCACTTTTCGCAGCTTGGCACCAGCTAGAGCTGCAGCCAGACCTGACGGAGCAGGACCTCCACCAGCCGGCAGTGGAGGCGGGGTAGGAGGGGGTCCTGTGGCGGGTGGTGGTGGCCCGGGTGGAGGAGGCCCAGGAGGGGGCGGAGGGGCCGGTGGACCCGCCATGGATGCTGAGGTAGGGGGGTGAACAGGAGGGGTGGATGAGAGCATGGAGGGATGACCCGGTGGAACGGGAGGACCTGCTGCAAGAAAGGAAAGAATCAGTGTTATATTCTAGACTGAGTGTTTAATTACAAATGCAATGAAATATACTGCAATGGGGAGCATTTGAATGGAAGCCTGCTTCCGCCACTGAATAAAAAATAAAAAAGGTAATTGAGACTCTTTATCTTACAATTCTGATGTTTCTTTCTCACAATTGTGAGTTCACATTTCATAATTTAACTTTTTTTCTCAGAATTGCGTGATATAACCTTGCAGAAGTTATAAAGTCAAAATTGTGAGCTTATATTCTGACTTTATTTCTCGCAATTGCAAGTTTGTATCCTGCAATTCTGACTTTATAATTGTGAGTAAAAAAGTTGCAATTATCTTTTTTTTTTCATCTGTGGCGTCAGCTTTCATACATTTGTGTTGACTTAAAGGTGAAATTGCGCATCACGACCTAAATTGTAGAAAGCAGAATTACAAATCAACCTACAAACAGGCTCAGCAGTAAGGATTTTTTTTCTGCTGGCTCAGTGGGTCTAGTACTTTCGAATTTATTATTCACATTAGTACTTCCAAAAGAACGACAAATTTTATTTTTAGTAATTTTTTTTAGATTTGTTTTTATCAATGTGTTTTTTTTATCAACGTAGTGTTCAATATACACTACCATTCAAAAGTGAGGGCTCAGTAATCCTTTTATTCAGCAAGGACGCATTAAATTGAGAAGTCACAGTAAAGACATTTTTAATGCTACAAAAGACTTCTACTTCAAATAAATGCTGACCTTTTTCTATTGATCATAGAATCCTGGAAAAAAAGTATTACGGTTTCCACAAAAATGTTATGCAGCACAACTGTTTTTGATTAAATAAATGCAGCCTTTGGGGAGCATAAGAGACTGAAATTACTTGATAAAAATCTTACCAACCCTAAACATTTGCACAGTATTTTTTCTACATGAAAATAATTTCATAAATTCACAAACACACTTTTGGTTTGTAGTTTTCAGCACATTCTTATTGATGCCTCAGGGGTGTATTTGCAAATTTGACAAAACCTCATCCATGTCAGCCAGCTAGATAATATTATCTCGGAGACAAATCAGCAGAGTTTGCATAATAATACATCACAGAAAACCAAGCGTTTAAATTTGCAAAGTAGATGTACGAGATCAATGAACGTTCAATGGCGCAACAAAAAGGACAAGTGACACTGGTCTGTCAAGTGGCCCAAAACACTCTCACACTGGTCCTGGGTCAGCAGGCCATTCTTAGTGTTGAGCCCTGCTTACACTTGCATCTACATAATTATGTGAGACAGAGCAAAGCATTTTAACTTCGAAAATATATCTGCAAAGAGAAAAAGCAAAAATGGAACATAGGGTGGTTAGTTTAAGGTATGACACACCATTTAGACAATATGAACAAATCACCTTTGAGCAAGAACAAGAACATC